TAAAATGCAAATATTTTGAAAATGAGGATGGAAACAAATGTACAAATGTGCTTGACACAATGGATGTATGTATGGATTGTGATGAGTTGTCAGAGCCCTCTATAAGATGAGGTTTTTTTAATTATAATATGTACTTTATTTGAATGTCAGAATTTTCCCCTTTCTTTTTTTGGAATTAAGTTCTCAGTCTTTCTAATCAGCAGGTTCACATTAACCTTCATCCATCACCACTCCTCTAATCATGAATTCCATTTCCTGATTCCCTTCTTAGTACTATTGGGAACACCATATCCCAGCCACCAAAGCAGCTAGAAACTTGGATCACTTCTCCCATGGAGACTTTTCTAAAACATGTAGCTGTTAGGTACACCAATTTATGGTATTTTTTCCTTTTTTTAATAGTACCTACAAATCATAGCTTGTTTTTTCATGCTTCAGTTGTTTCTGTAGTACCAAAGACAATTTATATTTTATTGTAATTTATCTACTATTATAAATATTTGGAGTCAATGGAGGTAAGCTGGCAAAGGGTGGCATCATCATGCCATCTTGTCTCAAGGTGGTTTATAAGTAATATATATATATATCAAACTGTAGATTAAAATATGAATACAAAAATAGAGATGCTAAAATAAATAGAGAAACACATGAAAGTAATGAACCCATTAAAGGTAAAAAGAGTAAAAGTGAAAACTAAACGGCAGCACCATTTTGCCTGATAAATAACAGCTATTATCTACCTAAATCTAGTGAGAGTACGGGTAAACCTGCATGCTAACACCTAACAATGACCCTGTATCCTCTCAACTCCATTGAAAATCAAGAACCAAAGTAGTACCCTGCTTCCCTAATGTGAATAAAGTCATAAATAGAAAATGTACATAATAAAACCTGTTAGGAAGAAATTGGGTAGTCTGGCAATGGAATCCAAAGAAGGGAGTAACACTTCCAAACTCAGTTATCACCTTCAGAATTGATTGCAAAGAATACCTTAGAATATGTTCTATATAGAAGAATGAAGTTTAAGATTGAAGGGATAGTCCAAAAGTCTTACAGAGAAATAACTATATTTCCATTTTACTACATGTTCATTCATGTACATAAATTATCTTTTTGCATCTAAAGTAAATAACAGGCTTCCTAGCATCTTTGGGAAGATAGAGAGTCCTACAGGTGTAATTTGAAAAGGAAGACTGGAATGAAATTAAAGATAACGTTTTCAAATAGACAAGGTATGTAGCAGGGAAGTGAGGAGAAATAGGTGAAGACAGGTGAATGGGATGCAGCTGGCTTTACAGAGTCAGGAAATCAGTGATGACTAATTTCACTTTTTGAAGACTATTCTTTAAGGATTTGCACTGCCATAGAAGCAGAATGAAAGTAAAGTGTTGAATTAATGAGGAGCTTTGGATATTTATCCCCCAGAGATATGACACTTCTGTTGGTGTGCCTGTGACCTCCTCACTCAACAGTCCTCTCCCAATAGTGAAGCGGTACACCGGAGATTCTAACAAAGCTGGTCCTCAGGTCCATGACCCTGGTCCCTCAGTTCCTCAACATTTCCTGAGGGTACATCTTCTACAGCCAGGCAAGATGTCAAGGCTTATTTCGCAATGATGCAAACCAGGTAAGCTAATATCCTAGAGTTGTTTGAGAATGAGGACAGATGTTTCACCATAATTTCGTTCATGAGGAACCTTGAACAGAGTATGTGTTTGAAATGATTTGAATCAAGTCTGCCAAAAGTTCCTATCTTCAAAGGTATTGACAAAGTTCCTTATGTTTTTGCAACAAGACCAGGGAATTTATTTCTATATTATCCATCCGTCTTTACATTGTCTTTACAAAGGCAAAGCTCATTTTCTCCTACACAGATATTTGCTTTCTCCCGTTGAGAGTGCTGTAAAAGTGTCTGATATTTGCTTCCATTATGGGGACAGGGAAAGATCAAAATGATCAGTTTCACTTGATGTTCATATCCCTAGTTCTTAGATAAATGTTTATTTGCTTGATGTCTGGCATTCATTACTGGAAAAAGTTGGAGCCTAAGACAGAATCATCAGGTCTGTATGATTCTATTTAAAGTAGCCAAATGTTTAATGGTCATAACAGCACAGAGAGTGTAATTAGAGAGGGGGAGAAAGCATGAACCCCTCCTCATTGCTACTTAATTAAGCATTTGCACTCTGCTGTAGCAGCTTCAGACCTTTTAAAAACAATCCAATAATATGTCTACAAAAGATTCCTCCTCTGTATTTCTCTGAAATCCCTCTTTCCTTTACCCCAGATGTGTCATCTCTATGCTGTTGCCACTATTGGTCTAGATATAACATATGTAATTGCTTTGTGACTCTGTCTTTTCCATGAGACACATCAACAACATGAAATCCAGAAACCAAACAAGTGTTTCAGAATTCCTTCTCCTGGCACTGACAGAAGATCTGGAACTGCAGCCCATCCTCTTTAGCCTGTTTCTGTTCATATACCTGGTCACTGTCCTGGGAAACCTCCTCATAATTTTGGCCGTCACCTCTGACCCTCACCTCCACACGCCCATGTACTTCTTCCTTGCCAATCTCTCCTTTACTGACATCTGCTTCAGCACAACCACCATCCCAAAGATGCTGGTGAACCTCCAAGCACAGAACCAGAGTATCACTTTCACTGGATGCCTTGCTCAGGCCTGCTTTGTCCTGGTTTTTGCTACTGTGGAAAGTAATCTCCTTTCAATAATGGCCTATGACCGCTATGTGGCCATTTGTCACCCACTGAGGTACACATCTATTATGAACCCACGTCTTTGTGGCTTACTGATACTATTGTCCTTGCTAATTAGCTTGGGGGACGCCCTGCTCCACAGTCTGATGCTGTTGCACTTGTCCTTCTGCACACATTTGGAAATCCCTTACTTCTTCTGTGAAGTTGTTCAAGTCATCAGGGTGGCCTGCTCGGACACATTCATCAATAACTTCATCTTATATTTTGGAGCTGGTATACTGGGTGCTGCTCCTTTCTCCGGAATAATTTTCTCTTATACAAAAATTGTCTCCTCTCTTTTGAAAATGCCATCAGCAGGTGGAAAGTATAAAGCTTTTTCTACATGCGGATCTCACCTTTCTGTCGTTTCCTTGTTCTACGGGACAGCTTTCGGTGCGTATATTAGCACGACATTCACACGCTCCTCTAGAGAGACTGCAGTTATTTCAATCATGTACACTGTGGTCACGCCCATGATGAACCCCTTCATCTATAGCCTGAGAAACAGGGACATGAAAGGAGCCTTGAGAAACATCCTCAGGGGCATACCTGCTTTTCAGTGATTTCATTATCTGCTCACATTTGTATTTCTAGATTGCATCAAAGTGAAAGGGTACTCAAGACAGAGCACCTGGCTCTTCCTCACATCACTGTCTTCTAAAATGAAGAGATTACATTACGGTTCAATGTAACTCAACCTGCAGTTGAAATTTGGCTTTTTTCTTTGTGTAGCTCTGTGCTGTTTGGCGAATTATTTTGACTTTTTAAGCTCAACATTGCCAGTCAGTTTCCATAGAGACAGAACATACCACAGGAATTTTTGTAATCATGATTTGGGACAATATTCTTAGACTTATAGGAATGGAACCCCAGATTCAGTCCTACTGAGCAACAAGAATTCTCCCATGTCTCAGTTTCATGGTAATCAGGACAATCACTGGTAAGCTGCATGTGCTTCTAATATCATTAGCATTTATGATATTCAATTTCCTATTGTATAAAATTTACTGATTAGATTATTGCAGTGACTTGACATGGTTGTAAGACAATTAATCCTTATCAGCAAGGAAGGCTCTGGCTCGATTAAGAAAATAGAAATCCTGACTCTGAATGCACAAACAATAGATTAATCTTTTATTACAAGGACCCAGAGTCAGAAAATGTGCAGGAAGAGGACAATAGGTCTTCATTCATATTCCCAGAAAGTGCCTTCATTCCAGGGATTATCTTCCCATGGTCGTAGACCGTTTGCCACAGGTGCCATATCCAGAGACACAAATCTGACTCCTTGTCCTTGGACCTACTGGTCATTGAGGCCCTGTTGTTAATAAATCTTTCCTTAGAGTCACACAGAAAACATCTTCTTCCATCTCCTCATGAACAATGACATCATGTACCCCTTTCTAAGTTAAACATGGGGGAAAACAATTTCCAAGGGAGCTTTATTTTATTTTTCAGACCATTCTATTAGGACACTATTCAGATACCATACCATTCAATAGTTCAATCATATAATGCAAGGTAGGGCAATCAGTACCACCACCACCATTCTCAAAATAGTTTCTTCCTTATTGAATTCTGTATTTATTATTTTTTTGAAATTATTCTGTTCGTTCGGTCATATTGTTATTACTGCAATTAAGCCCACCCCCCAGAACAAACAAATTCACTGCTATGGAGTTGATGTTTTCTCATAAGCGACCTTCAAAGAAAGGCTAGAAATTTGGACATATTATCAGGAGAAACCAGTCCCTAAAGAAGCACATCATATTAGGTAAAGTGGAGGGGCAACAAAAAAGAGGTAGGCTCTGTATAAGATGTATGGACACAGAGGCTGCATCAACAGGCTCAGGCAGAGACTGGCACAGGATCATGCAGTGTTTAGGTCTGTGGGGCATAGGGTTGCTATGAGTCAGAACCAACTCCATGGCACCTAAACAGAACTGCCGATATGAGTTTGTGATATATGCTTCCCGCAAAAATAGATTTAAATCTGAACTCCTGTTACCTGTGGATGTGAGATTGTTTGGAAATTGTTATCAGTTAAATTAACTGAGGTCATACTGGATTAAGGCTGGTACTAAACCTGTAGGATTTGTGCCCTTGTAAAAGAGACAGTATGGAGACTGGAGTCACAGAAGAGCTATCATGTGAAGACAAAAGAAGAGACAGAGTTTGTTACATTGCAGTTGTAAGCCAAAGAATTTATTGAGATAGGAGAATTTGGAAGAAACCAGAAGGAATCTTTTTCCAGAGTCTTCAGTGGATCTTACTACTGTTACTAACTTAAATTTGGACTTTAGACTCCAGAAATTTGAGACATTTTCTTTCAGAGTCATGATAGTTTGATATTGCAGCCCTCCATGATTGATGTGTTGTGGGATGTTGTCAAGTCAATTCTGGCTCAGCGCAACACCATGTAACAGAGTGGAACTTTCTCCATAGGTTTTCTGTGCTTGCATCTCCATGGGAGCTGATCACCAGCTCTCCCACAGGGCCATGTGGCTGCCTCTGAGTTTTTGGATAGCAGCCAAGCAATGCCTGCAGGGCTTCTGAGACACACCTGTGAAAATGCTATATTCTATAATGTCGCCTCTACAAAACGGACAATTAAGATTAAAGGTCATTATTTGATCACTCCTGTATGTCTCTCTATCCAATTTATAATTTTGTCTATTTTCAAAATTAAGAGAAATATAAATGAAAAAAATCTTTCCTAATTGAGCTTTGAAAATTATATCATTCTGCTGGGTGTAATCATAATTCATTTATTTCAATGTTGTACTTTTCCCCCCTTACATATGGTAAAGTTATGTGTGTATCCCTTTTGATAGTAATGGAAAATTTAGTAGCTAATATTTTATTATAAATAAATCACTTTGAATATACTAATATACATCAGCTCATAGAAAGTAGAATCTATTTTAACCTGGGGTAAAATTTTGGGAAGCA